GGGAAATTTCAGAAATTTTGGCCATTTTGCAAATTGCCGGAAGAGAAAAAATTTGGGAATTTTGGGGATTATTTTGTCAATTTTGGGGATTATTTTTAAGAATTTTGGAACTTTGGGAACATGGGAACGTTGGGAATTTGGGAACTTTGGGAAATTTGGGAATTACTTTAAAAATTTTGGGAAATTTGGGGAAATTTCAGAAATTTTGGCCATTTCGCCGCTTGCCGGAATGAGAAAAAATTGGGAATTTTGGGGATTATTTTGAGAATTTTGGGGATTATTTCAGGAATTTTGGAACTTTGGGAATATGAGAACTTTGGGAATTTGGGAAATTTTGGGAATTTTGGGAGTTTGGGACTTACTTTGGAAATTTTGGGAAATTTTAAAAATTTTGGCGATTTTGCGAATTTTGTGAATTTCCGGAACGGGAAAAATTTGTCAATTTTGGGAATTATTTTGAGAATTTTGGGGATTATTGCAGGAATTTTGGAACTTTGGGATCATGGGAACGTTGGGAATTTGGGAACTTTGGGAAATTTGGGAATTGCTTTAAAAATTTTGGCAAATTTGGGGAAATTTTAGAAATTTTGGCCATTTCGCCACTTGCCGGAACGGGAAAAATTGGGAATTTTAGAAATTATTTTGAGAATTTTGGGGATTATTTCAGGAATTTTGAAACTTCGGGAACATGAGAATTTGGGGAATTTTGGGATATTTGGGAATTACTTTGAAAATTTTGGGATTTTGGGGAAATTTGGGGAAATTTCACAAATTTTGGCCATTTCGCCGCTTGCCGGAACGGGAAAAATTGGGAATTTTAGGAATTATTTTGTCAATTTTGGGGATTATTTCAGGAATTTTGGAACTCTTGACGACGTGGGAAGGTTGGGAACGGTTTGGAATTTTGGGAATGGTTTGGAATTTTGGGAATGGTTTGGAATTTTGGGAATCCTGACCTGGTTGACCCTCCGGAGAGGGGACACGTCCACGGCCTGGCGGCGCACGGTGCCGGCGCGGCCGATGCGAGTGGAATCCTCCCGGGGGCCAGAGTTGATGATGGCGTTCACCAGAACCTGCAGGGGATTCTGGGAAATGGGAAATTAAAAAAAAAAATTAGGGATCAAATCAGAATTCCCAGAAAAAAATCCCCTGGGAAATCTCAAAAGGATTCCCGGAGAAATTCCCGGAAAAAAAATCGCCGCGACGCTGCTGAGTCAGCAAAAATTAAATTTTTTTTTTTAAAGAATAAAACTGACCTGGATGCCAAAAAAAGCCCAAATTTTCCTCAATCTCAAAAAAATCCTGTCTGGAATCTTAAAATTCTCCTGAATTCCTAAAAAAAAATATCCCAGAATTCTCTTCCTTTATTCTTCAAAAAAATCCCAAAATTTTATTCCTGGATCCCAAAAATTTCCCCCAAAAAAATCCCAAAATTCCCTTCCTTTATTCCCCAAAAAAATCCCAAAATTTTATTCCTGGATCCCAAAAATTCCCCAAAAAAATCCCACAATTCCCTTCCTCTATTCCCAAAAAAATCCCAAAATTTTATTCCTGGATCCCAAAAAAAATCCCAGAATTCTCTTTATTTATTCCCAAAAAAATCCCAAAATTTTATTTCTGGATTCCAAAAATTCCCCAAAAAAATTCCTAAAATTTCCTTCCTTTATTCCCAGAAAATCCCAAAAATTCCCCAAAAAAATCCCAGAATTCCCTTCCTCTATCCCCAAAAAAATCCCAAAATTTTATTCCTGGATCCCAAAAAAATTCCCAGAATTCTCTTTATTTATTCCCTAAAAAAATCCCAAAATTTTATTCCTGGATCCCAAAAATTCCCCCCAAAAAAATCCCAGAATCCCCTTCCTTTATTCCCCCAAAAAAATCCCAAAATTCTCCTCAGGAATCCCAGAATTCCAAGCTCTGGAATTGCTGATGGTGTTCACCAGAACCTGCAGGGGATTCTGGGAAATGGGAAATAAAAAAATTAGGGATCAAATCAGAATTCCCAGAAAAAATCCCCTGGGAAATCTCAAAAGAATTCCCGGAGAAATTCCCGAAAAAAAATCGCCGCGACGCTGCTGAGTCAGCAAAAATTAAATTTTTTTCTAAACCCTAAAACTGACCTGGATGCCAAAAAAAGCCCAAATTTTCCTCAATCTCAAAAAAATCCTGTCTGGAATCTTAAAATTCCCCTGAATTCCTAAAAAAAAAAATCCCAGAATTTTCTTCATCTATTCCCAAAAAAAATCCCAAAATTCTCCTCCAAAATCCCAGAATTCCAAGCTCTGGAATTGCTGATGGTGTTCACCAGAACCTGCAGGGGATTCTGGGAAATGGGAAATAAAAAAAAAAAAAAAAATTTAGGGATCAAATCAGAATTCCCAGAAAAAATCCCCTGGGAAATCTCAAAAGGATTCCCGGAGAAATTCCCGGAAAAAAAATCGCCGCGACGCTGCTGAATCAGCAAAAATTAAATTTTTTTACAAAGAATAGAACTGACCTGGATGCCAAAAAAAGCCCAAATTTTCCTCAATCCCAAAAAAATCCTGTCTGGAATCTTAAAATTCTCCTGAATTCGTAAAAAAAAAATCCCAGATTTTTCTTCATCTATTCCCAAAAAAAATCCCAAAATTCTCCTCTGGAAGCCCCAAAATTTCCAATAAATCCCCCCAAAAAATCCCAGAATTCCCTTCCTTTATTCCTTAAAAAAATCCCAAAATTTTATTCCTGGATCCCCAAAAAAATCCCAGAATTCTCTTCCTTTATTCCCCAAAAAAATCCCAAAATTTTATTTCTGGATCCCAAAAATTCCCCCAAAAAATTCCCAGAATTTCCTTCCTTTATTCCCCCCCAAAAAATCCCAAAAATTCCCCAAAAAATCCCAGAATTCCCTTCCTCTATCCCCAAAAAAAATCCCAAAATTTTATTCCTGGATCCCAAAAAAAATCCCAGAATTCTCTTTATTTATTCCCAAAAAAATCCCAAAATTTTATTCATGGATCCCGAAAATTCCCCAAAAAAATTCCCAAAATTTCCTTCCTTTATTCCCCAAAAAAATCCCAAAATTTTATCCCTGGATCCCAAAAATTCCCAAAAAAATCCCAGAACTTCCTTCCTGGATCCCAATAATTCCCCCCAAAAAAATCCCAGAATTCTCTTCCTTTATTCCCTAAAAAAATCCCAAAATTTTATTTCTGGATCCCAAAAATTCCCCCAAAAAAATCCCAGAATTCTCTTTATTTATTCCCAAAAAAATCCCAAAATTTTATTTCTGGATCCCAAAAATTCCCCAAAAAAATCCCAGAATTCTCTTCATTTATTCCCAAAAAATCCCAAAATTTTATTCCTGGATCCCAAAAATTTCCCCCAAAAAAATCCCAAAATTTCCTTCCTTTACTCCCTAAAAAAATCCCAAAATTTTATTCCTGGATCCCAAAAATTCCCCAAAAAAATCCCAAAATTTCCTTCCTTTATTCCCAGAAAATCCCAAAAATTCCCCAAAAACTCCCAGAATTCCCTTCCTCTATCCCCAAAAAAATCCCAAAATTTTATTTCTGGATCCTAAAAATTCCCCCAAAAAAATCCCAGAATTTCCTTCCTTTATTCCCAAAAACAAATCCCAAAATTTTATTCCTGGATCCCAAAAATTCCCCCCCCCAAAAATCCCAGAATTCTCTTTTTTCTCCCCAAAAAATTCAGTTTTTCCCCCCCAAAAATCCCAATTTTTCCCCTAAAACTCCTGGATTTTTTCCCAAGGATTTTTCCCATTAAAATCCCATTTTTCACCCCCCCCAAAAAATTTTTTTTCCCCATTTTTCAACCTAAAATCCCCATTTTTTTTTTCAAAAAAACTCCCTTTTTTTCCCTAAAAATTTAATTTTTTTTCCTAAAAATCCCATTTTATTTCTAAAAAACCCTTTTTTCCACCTAAAAATCCCAATTTTTGACCTAAAAATCCCATTTTTTGCCTTAAAAATCCCATTTTTTTTTCCAAAAACCCCCATTTTTTTACCTAAAAA